TCCTGATTTATAGTAAATCCTAAAAGTGCGCACATGGAGGGAGCGATCAGATACAGTGTCATTGCGTTCGACGCGTTTAGAATTCAGTGGCTTTGTAAACCAAAAAATGTTCTTAGTGTTTTTCGGTAAGGATGACTTGTATGACCGCCCAAAATAGGACATAGGAAACAGGAACCATTCACAATACATGCGGCTTTGCGCCGAATTCCGGGGAGGATTAGGTTTAGGATTAAGGCGAGCGTTAGGGTTAAGTTTAGGATTAGGTTCAGTGTTGGGATTAGGGTCAAGATTATGCTAAGGGATAAGGTTAAGGTTCGTGTAAAGTGAAGAGTGAGGGTAGGGCTGGCGTTAAGATTCAGATTAAACTTCAGTTGTGTGCTAGAGTTACGATACGAGAATATTTATCCTCCTTGAAAGTTATCGCCTGGTCGCCTACTTTAAGTGGGCAGGACGTTCCTATTCACGTGTCCTGGTTGGACAGCCATACAAGTCATCCTTATCCATTTTCCCTTGCTTCAGTGGATTCAAGGAGAGTTGTTATAAATTCCAGTGGATACTCCGTTTAGTCGCAAAACCCGCACCAAATTACTTCACAATAAATACCTGCCCATTCAAGCTGGTATGTACTGTTATTTAGAGAAATACAGAAAGTACCTAAAACCAAGGTGTTGGGGTTAGTCGATGTTCATCCGCAACCGCTCTTGATTTATACTGCAATCCAGGTAATCAAACCATCGGTTAATTTGGTGAGCCGCTTATTCGGATCAAGTGATGATGATGATGATGATGAGGAGGAGGAGGAGGAGGAAAAACTCACAAATTTTGCACAGTTTATCACAGCTAGCACCTCAGTTAGATGAGCTGTTAGGAGATGATGTAGCCGAAGCTGTAAAGACAGGCTGAATTTGTAGTGGCCCTAGCAGCCACTTGGAACCAAGATCTAACGGACAGCGCCTTTTTACCTGCGCGCCTAATGCCGCCTGCGGTCAGGTGCTAAGTCCCGGCACCCCCCT